AAGAAGGCAGGAGAATAAATACAGGAAGATGGGAGGGGGGAGGGGTTAAAGTAGGCAGAAAGAAGAGAAAGAAGAGAACGGGGAAAGTCAAACACACATCTGTTTGACTGGTTAATTCCCCATGCGAAAACTCAAACATGTTTAGGATCTCTTTTTCTGACATGGAGAACTGTACTAACGCAAACACGAAGAGCAAGGATAGTTAAAAGATGGGTTGGGATTAATACCAAGAAGAGCTGGGAACGGAAGGTACCTAAAGGGAGAGCTTTTTTCACGCTTCTGGCACCTAACCAGGCGCTCTCAGCTCTGTTGTGTTTGTATTTCTACAGCGAGTTTGCCTTAGTGCAATCATTGCAAAATCTCCTTCGTACTTCTTGTTACTGGCACACCGAGTTTTTCTTTCTTTCTCTTTTTTTTTACTTGGAGTAAAAATCCTCCCACCTGTCATCCATCTACTCTGTCTGTCTGTCTGTCTCTCTCTCTCTCTCTCTCTCTCTCTCTCTCTCTCTCTCTCTCTCTCTCTCTCTCTCTCTCTCTCTCTCTCTCACACACACACACACACACACACACACACACACACACACACACACACACACACACACACACACACACACACACACACACACAGAAACACACACACAAACACACACACATACACAAACACACATACACACACAAACACACACACACACACACACACACACACACACACACAACACACACACACACACATACACAAACACATACACACGCACGCACGCACACACACACACACACACACACACACACACACACACACACACACACACACACACACACACACACACACACACACATACACCTTCCTCCTCCTTTCGTCTCTTCCTTCACCCCCCCCCCTTCTCTCCTCCTCCTTGTCTCCCCCATTTTCTCTCCTGTTTTAAAATTCCGCCAAGCTTACCCAAGGGAGGGAAAAAATCACATTCTTTCTCCATTTTTCGTGTTAAGATAAGAAAAGCGAGAGAATAAGATTGGAGTTCCGCTGTTATCCTACTTGATTGCTTCTGCCTCTCTTCCCTTGAACATCCGGCCGTGCCTAATTACTGCCTAATCTTCCAGGTTAATGACGGTTTAATTGGGATTGGGTGTTTCAGAGTCGACGAAACTGTTTCTATGGCGACAGATACTTCCTGAACGAACGATAAGCGATGAATGATACATATTATGTATAATATATATATATATATATATATATATATATATATATATATATATATATGTGTGTGTGTGTGTGTGTGTGTGTGTGTGTGTGTGTGTGTGTGTGTGTGTGTGTGTGTGTGTGTGTGTGTGAGTGTGTGTGTGTGTGTTTGTGTTTGTGAGTGTGTGTGTGTTTGTTTGTGTGTGTGTGTGTAATATATATATATATATATATATATATATATATATATATATATATATATATATATATATATATATATATATATATATATATGCATATGAATATATGTATGTATATGTATATGTATATGTGTATATATATATATACATGTGTGTGTGTGTGTGTTTGTTTGTGTGTGTGTCTAATATATATGTATATATATATATATATATATATATATATATATATATATATATATATATATATATATATATGTATATATATATATATATATATATATATATATATATATATATATATATATATGCACATAAATATATGTATGTATATGTATATGTATATGCATATATATGTGTATATATGTATATACATGTGTGTGTGTGTGTATACACATATATACATACGTGTGCATATTTCTTTATATGTACGTATATATGCATATGATTATAAGCACAGGCTCGCTCAACCAGCCATGGGGATGAAAGAAGAGGAACAGCTCATTTTCAATTCATCGCTTATCAGTCTAAGTCCCAATCAAAGCGCCGCCGTTCATACATATCGCAGATTAACCGTCTATTAGCGAGCTGCGGGGCCGTCCGTGGCAGCAGATGAATATGAGCCTGTTGATATCTCTCTCGCTTTGGCAAATGCTCAGGAGGATTAATGCCAACCTTACGCCGAAAGATTTATACGTGTGTGCAAGGACGCATACGGTTTATTTATTCCTATGCGTTTTCTTAGGTACGATGTATATGCTTAAATTGGTTCTGTTTTTATATATATGTCCTTAGTTGTTCGTTCTTTTTGTTGTTGTTCTGTTTTTCCGTTTTTGTCCTTTATTGTTTTTGATAAAGGATTCTCCCTCTCTCGCTCACGCCCGCATCGAAAGCAAGGACGTAAACTCTTTCCTAGAGGACAAGGAAAACTATGTCTGTTCTAATATCACTCTTTGGACATATCAGTGTTTTGGGACATATCACGCGCAGTAATGTTTTGTATGTTATATATTCATGTCTGTGACACTGTTGTATTATTTGTAAATATTTATATCTATAAAAAGAAAAAAAAACAAATGGTGACCAATGAGCCACATGGATATTAAATGTATGTGAATAGCGGTTAGGTTTGTTACTGAATGATGACAAGAGAATAAAAGATAAGCTTCTCGAGTTAAGATTTCGTACGAAGATTTACAATAGTAGTCAATCGCTGGTTTTACTTGAATTTAAAACAGTGTACAGCTGTGATGGTAGTGTTACAGACGATGACGATCATTCGAAAGTGGCGCTTTTATAGAAGCACGAGTGATGTAATATGTAAAAAAAAAGAAAAAAAAAAGAAAAGGTAGTGTCTAAGATTTCTAAATTTTCATTTAAGTATTCATTATTTTTGTGGAGGGCTTAAGTCCACTGCAAAAAGAGTGTTTCGATTAAAATGGCCCAATTGATGTGGCCATGTGTGTTGTATACCTCGGTTCTAGTAAGAGTATTTGGATAACAAAAAAAATAAAAACAAAAAAAATAACTTGACTTTTTCGGAAAAGAAAGTCGACTGAGCTGCTAACCTTGTAAGCGAGAAAAAATATCGTGTTTCACTATGGAGAACTCTGTGAATGTATACTTGATTACACACATAAGTATCACCCAGATATACATACACCCAGTGTTAAGATGGCTTACAAGGCTTTTTTAAACAACAGTCTCCTTCTCTACCATGAATGTGTCAATAAGCATCTGTTGGTTGAATTTAAGGCTTACAAAGTCTAAAAGTGAAACAATTATAATATCCATCTTAGAAAAAATGTACAGTGTATTTTATGTCAATCTGTATTGTTCTGAGTGAATGTGTTTCTTTTGTATGTGTGTATGTTTTTGTCTGAGGTATTGATACAGAGTCCAACCCTGAAATACCAAGGGGCTATATTTACTAAATCTTGATCGCACAGTGGTGTGTATTTGCGAAATTTCGCTACTCAAACTTAAGAGAATAGCGAAGCTGTGAATGTTGACTGTATTGATGATTTTGTTGTGTACCAATTTTTATGGTATGGTCATATATATTTGTAAATCTCAAAGGAGACACTAAAAAAATCTCCAAGACTCAACACTGAATTAGATGATAAAAGAACGGAATATGTAGATCCATTTGCAATAATGGTTCGGTAATCTGTTTGTATAATACTTATATATGTGTGAGTATGTGTGTATGATTGTCAGTCTATGTAATATGAGGCGATAGCACAAAGAAAAATATACTTCCATTGCTACCAAAAAAAAAAAAAAATGTGGGAATTGGTTTGGCAAGAAATGTGTCGCATGTCTTATTTACAAATAATTTCTAATCTGGGAAAAAGAGTAGTAGTAAGTGTAATCACTTTGTGATGTTGTTTGTTACAGGTCAATATCAATCCTCAGTTTTGTACTTTTTTCAAGTAACTATGTACGAAAGCTATCACATCGACAATCTGAGACGTTATTAAATTACAACAACCATTAACTAAAGAAACATAGAAAGTATTTAAATGTGTTGACACTATTGTACCATAACACTAAATAAACTACGTAGAGAAAGATAGCAGTGTTCATATCATTAGCTGATACTACGTGCTTTTCGCTTGGCTTTTATTTTCTATCTGGACTTGATGCTGTTTATTCACGTTTATGCGACTCTGGGTTTCACGAGGTACTTCGCTGGTGAAGGGAAGTGGGGATTTTACACGTCTACAAATGCTATTTAACGTATATATGTACATGTATAGCCATGTGTGTATATACGTAGAGCGCGCACATAAACTCAGATACAAAGCCAGATCCATACATATGTAAGCACTCAGGTGAAGAAACACACACATTCGTTCAGTCAGACACGTACAAAAGGACTTGAACAATGACATATCTATATACCCCAGGCCTTTGATAATGTCTCCTCACTTTCTTTTCTTCTATCTACCCCAACCCTACCTCCTAGAGCTCCTACTGACCTCTGGTTCTTGGTTCTCTCGAGCTTATTCTGTCTCCTTGCCCCCGGTCACCTCCTCCCTCTTCTGTTGACTGCTACCCTACACCCGCGCCAACTGCGTCCCCAGTCTATAGTTCATCTTCTCTCGGTACATCCCGATCTTTTTCCCTTCCCCCTGTCCCCAGCTCGGTCCATACCCATCCTGCCCACGCCTTCCCCTATCCTATCCAGTCCAGTCTGTCTCCTCCCAAACCCACTCCCATCAGCGGCCCGTCCTGGCCTTCCCCTCCCCTGTCCGATCCATAAACAGCGCGCCCTTTCCCTCCCTGTGCCACCTTCCTCAACGCTCCTGTCCCGAAGTCCTTATCGAAGCCTCTCCCCAATAGGTCCTCCGCGAACTCCCCACCCCTCCCCTCCCCCTCAACTCTTTCCCCAACCTTACCCCTTCCCCACCCAAGAAAGAAAGAAAGAAAGAAAGAAAAGAAAAGAAAAGAAAGAAAGAAAAAAAAAACAGTCCCTCCGCAAGCTACCCCTCAGGTCCTTCGCCAACCACTCCCCATAGGATCGTCAGTGCCCCCTTGCCACCCCCTGCCTCCCCCTCCGCATAGGACCATCAGCTCCCCCACAGGTCCTCCCCCCTTGCCCTTTCCTTCCCTCCCCATAG